AATCCTTACAGTTTGACTTCAATTTATTGCCAAAAGAATCGCCACATTTTTCCACATAGGATGGGCAATAAATTGACTGAAAATATTATATGGGCCAAATCGGCTTCTTATGTGCCCCTGTCTTTTATATTGTTGAACGACGATATTCTCTTCCTCCATTTTCTTTTAGCATTCGATCAATAATAAGTATCAATTCAGCAATATTAGCAGTTTTAGCATTTAATGGAGCTTCATTATTGATTGCAATGTATCTATTTTTGCATTTTTTCATCAATTTCGTAATTGATGGACTTTGATGATTTTTCATATATCGATCAATTTCTATTCCATCTACTTGAAGTTTTTCTAAGTTTGTAAATACAAATATAGTGTACTGAAGGGCTTTATGTCCAAATGTGTTAATAATTAATTCACAGAATTGTTTATCTTCTTCTTCTGAATATGATGTACTAGAGATAAATTCAAGTACAAGCAAAAATGCGTGTGGTCCCGGCGATGTTAGTTCAATTGAACGTTTAATTTCGTTACATATCATAGAACTAGAATCATTTGTAATAACAAAACTAGGCGTGTCAACAACCATTAACATTCTTCCATAAAATTCTCGAAATCCCACGAGACAATAATTTTCGTCTTGATGAGTTAAGGAAGATGAATCTTGTTGAGTCAAAAAATAATTTTCTTGAGCGAGTAACGTATTTCCAAATAAATCTTTCACTAAAAACTATCAATAAACATAATGAATGAATTAATCATTTTATACCTGTACTCGAACGCCCAAATAAAATAATGCGTACATTGCTAGTCTGCATTAAAGCTTCTCTAAAATCATGTTGTACTGGCATCTCTTTGGTTTTTGAGGTTGTAGTTGTTGTGTCAGCAGTAGCTATCTTATTAAATCTTTGCTGCAAAAAATATCATCAATACAAAATGACATCAATCAAATGTATTCTTACTGTCCTATAATGATCTCTTGATTTAGATGATATATTTAACAAGTTTCTAAAAGGAAAAATCGAAATTGATTTAACGTCTTTCAATATGCATAATAAATACTCTTGTATCCTTTTTATATCATCTTCTAGATTTCGTAATTCATTAGAATTTTTATTTAATGCTTTGTAAACTATATTGGCTTTTTGATAGAATTCCAAAGCATTTTGATATTCCTTTAATTGCTCGTATGCCAAACCTATCGATCGATGTGTAATACCCATACTAAGATGATTATCAGGCAGTGCTTTCAGTCGTATTTTTAGTGCTTCCATAAAATAATTAAGTGCTAAAGATGGATTATTATTTGAAGCACCAGAGTTAAGACGACACAAACCCATATTCTGATAAATCGACGCCAAATCGGGGTGATCATCTGGCATATCTTGTTGTTTATTTATTTCTAATGCTATTTGATATTCTCTAAGCGCTTCTTCGCAATTTTCTTGCTCGTAACGTATATCTCCGATGATAGCATGACACGCAGCTACTTTTGCTTGATCTTCTCGTGAGTTCTGTTGTTGAAGAAGACTTCGTGCAATTGCCACATTTTCCAATGCATTGTCGTAATCTTCCATATCTTTATAATCATTAGCAATATAAATATGACTAAGAGCAATAAGTGAATGATTTTGAGGAGACAAATCTGAATTTGTACGTAGTTTGAGTGCTTGTTGATGATATTTTAATGCTTCTTTCAGTCTACCTTGAGCATTTTCAATATTTCCTAAACCATCTAGACAATATGCACTATCAGGGTGATCTTTGTTTAACTCAGATAGAAGTAATTCGAAATATTTTCGAGCTTTGTCTAATTCACCCATTTTATATAATAAACTACCTAATGTAATCATATCTGTTTCAGGTTGGATAAAATTTTTTGTCATATAATAGTCAAGTATACTTTTGAAATCAGAATCATCATCGCCACACAACTTAAGTTTAAGTATGTAACAATTCAATGTATTATCTGGTACAATGGAATCAATACAAAATACACATCCAAGCATAAACAAAGTGAAATCTTGTTCTTTCCCATGTATTCGAGCAAATGGACTCGATCTTATTCTGTAATCTACTTCAATCTCGAATAAAATACGTTTGAGACCAACTTGACATTGTGGTTTAAGAAAATTAATTACTGTCTTGTGTTCATCCGATGTTGACATAAAACTATTAATGGTTATATGTTCCCCTTTATTTGCTTCAAGAAGTTGTTTATGTTCAAACTCAGATATGACTTGACATCGATATAAAGTGAGAGTTTTTTCTCTGTTCTTTATTTCTTCACTGTGCTCTTTTTTAAGTTGTTCATAAATATCTTTGATCAAGTAACGAAATATAAATAAGTGATCTAGATGTTGTTGTCGTAATGCTTTATTTAGTTCTCTTAATAAGCATGAATCATGACGTGTAAGCCATTCAACTGCTTTATCAGGTGTGTAGTTTTGAGCAAAGTCAGTAACGAAATCTGATAGAGGATAGTTTATGTACAATATATTTACTAAATCATGATGAGCTCGTTCATTATCCTTCATACGAATAAGAACTTCAACGAACAGTTTGAACCAAAGAAAATTTCCTTTTTCCATTTTTAAATTTTTAGTTGTCATTTCTTTTCCATTAAATATGTTCATTATTATATCATTCTGTGAAAAATCACATCCCTAGAAATATTCAATGAATCAATGATCATCATACAAAGTCATTTAAATTAGAAATAAATGCGGAAACTTCGGATTTAAATCCGAGAGTTATGTGTACTTCAAAAAGTGAATCGGACGAATTAGCGATCCTAGAATGTGTAAACATCAAAATTATACTGGGAAACCTACCCTCTAAACTGTTGATTTCTATTGGGTATTGCCAAACCAATAGGACTTGGGACTGAATACAGCTCAGATTTGAACTCTTCACCTTGATTTACTCTAAGAAAGTCGTTTTTCCTATAACTTGATTTCTATTGGTTACTGTTCAACCAATGGGATTTCGAGGCGAAGGGAG